GTCAGTTGGTTTTAGAAATACCTTTAATGAGTTGAAAAGAGAAGTGGTCTTGACGGCCGTTCGGAGATCGGTTCCCTAGCCATTTTTTCCCTTCATTTCAGCTGGCTACACCAAACCCTCGTTCCTTTTGTTTGGTGACATAAAATTCCCTCGTCAGATGTGTTCAGCAGGGTGATCCACTGGTTCCACTTCTCTCTGTTAAAAAAACTCAAGGTAAAACGGTGTGGAGTGATAGTCAGGAAATCACTCAGGGGGATGGTAAAGTGTATCCCACATGATTGGAGAGTGAAATGGGTGAGTTTAGTAAATTAAGAATACAGGCACGAGTGAGGGAATATATATAGATTTCTTATGGGGACGTTGGCATCGAAAGAGTGCTAAGACTAATGGTTTTGTGAGGGAGTCATGCTTTTTTGTGGGGAAGTTGAAACTGCTTTCCATGTATATATTTTTGTTTCTGCTTTGGTTGAAGAGGTTTTCCTTTTATTGGGGGGGTCAGATATCAACCCCTTAGGTCTTTAATGTTAGATACTGAGGGGTGCCCAACGAGGTGGGGAGGGCTATCCAGATACGTAATATTGATTACTGTAGTCTCTGGGGATAGAGGGAGGTGGAGGAAATAATAGTATACAAGCTTGGCGCATGTTTTTTATAGGACAGCGTGAAGGAACAAACAATTACATGGGGGGGGACGGTGGGCAACTAGTTTTCCGGAGGGACATCGGGACTAATTGTAGAACTTTACTCCGCTTGTGACGGGGTGGAGGAGGCAAGGGGTTGGTCTCTTCAGGGTGTCCGTCTTAGAGTGCTTAGATGACTGAGGAGGAAATTGACTGGTTTGCAAGGTTTGATGTGGGTACAGTTTATTGTGCAGGGAGCCGTCGGGGCTCCGGGGTATGTAACCTTACGTTGGGGGGGGTAAACCGAGTTAAAATTGTATTGATTTTTTTTTTTTTTTCTTTTATCGTTAACAGAGTCCATTTTATATATGGGGTTATATTCATATGTATGTAGGATATGCTTTATATATTCGAATCTGATGATAGCTTTATCCTTGCATGCGTCTTTTTTTTTTTATCGTATAATTGAAGGGTACAATAATCAACTAGTACGAGAATATATAAGTGTTTTCTGAGGTTTAATATACCCTTCTAGTTGTATGGAAGGTCATATATTGATGTTTAATCGGTAACATTAACTCTGTGTGTATGTTTGTGAGAACCAATGTCTTGCATATAGTTTCTATTTTTGGATGTAATATATTTTTAGTTTATTAGTGAAGTCATTTTGCGTTTTTATTTGTATGTATAACCAGTTTCTGTACGAACACCTGTGCACATACACGTATGATTTATATTAATGTGTGTTATATATATACATGTATGTATATATGATTATAGGACTTATTCCAACATGTTTTATAATGACTCCTAGCTGTTTTTGGAAGTCGTAATGTTTTTTTCATAAACTGGTTTGTTTTTCAGTGAATTTTGTGTATCAATGTTTTAAAATGGTATTTTTGTGTACTGGCATTGCAGCCACGTTTTTGATTTGCTAATTGTCCGGCTGTTGTTTTTTTATGGTTTAGTACGTTTTCTTTTAAAAATCAAATATAAAAAAAATACTTCTGCTTGCAGTAAGAATATTGGTCAAACCATTCCACTCAGCTGTTGCAATAAACCCAGAATTCAAAATCATGAACTTAGTCGAGATTACTTTTACTAAATTTAAGGATTCTTCCATATTAAGCACTTAAACCTAGACCAAATGATTATAATTCTGCAACTATATTATTTACTGTGGAATTATAAGAATTTCCCTCTTGATGTGATCATAGGACTGGATAACCATGCACACACTAACCTAAACAGCAAGTATAATCTCACATTACCTGACCTATTCTTGTTTTTCCTTGACTGTCTCTACTAAAAATCTGACTAAAGTTTCTCGGTATTACAATTGAAAAGGCCACCTGGTGGAGAACTTTTCTAATTATCATGATACACAGACCAAATGTATTCACGAGCCTCTACACATGATAATAACGAAAAGATTGGAATATCCCTGACTCAGTAACAAGTCCTTCTCTATTTTGCAGAGTCCCAAATCATGCGAAAGTTCGGCTGCTTTCGGTGTATAAAACCTGTGGTGGAACGGACCGGATAATGTCTACAGCAACTCATGTGAGCTTGAACGCAGGGCACTGCAGTAACCCAGGGCGTAAACCTAAAAATTGCTCCTGATTCCCAATTGTCAGTGAGTTTTAAGCTCGAGTATTTCCCATTCCAATTAATAAAATAAATTAATTGAATTAATGTAATTTTAAATTTACTCTTATTTAAATTTAATTATAGAATTAATTTGAAATAAATTTAATACAAGCAATTTAAATATAAATTTAATTTAATTGGATGGTACGAGAGATTAAGATTGGACGAAAGAATACAGCCTTTTTTTCGCGGAATATACATCAGTTAGTTTTACGCAAAAATTAATTACGCCATTGTTCTTCGTGGCTACGCGCTCGTGTGCGTTTAGGCGAGTATAAGTATAGCAACATTTCTAGTGATCGTTTGATTGTTTTTTGTGCATCCACTGTGAGCCACATGAGGGTGGCAGAGGGCTCCGACCAGGGCCTCGCCTCACAGTTTTAAATTTTTCATACGAGGCCCGTGTGGGCGGCTGTGACGTCAGTCAGCAGCACAGCTGCTAGATCTATGCCCCACGCCGCAGTCACCTTGTCAGGCCCAGGAGAGCGGCCTAAACGTTTATTGAAATGCGAGGAAGAGACTGAGGCCGACGTGGGGCAATGGAAGCCCCCACCAAGAAGGCAAAGGAACACTGTAGTGACTGCTGTATTCTACCGCTACTTCATGCGGCAACATTACGAAAAAAGAAATAAGACCCTTCCCTACCCGGGGAGCAATGTCCGGGTCACCAAATAGGAAGACACCCGGGCCAGGATCATAGTCAATCACCTTGAATAGAATTAAATTTAATAATATAATTTTAATTTTTAATCATATTTAAGGTATTTTTTAGCATTCAGACATCGCATAACACAAGTTTCTACCTACCATACAACTCATTTGCATGCTCCTAAATTATAGTGTTAAGTAAACTGGAATATAGTGTAATATGCCTCCAAAAACAAAATTTCAAAAATATTGTGTCAATACTGAATTTTGAAACTCTAATTTATTTAAGTTTTTATTCTGTAAACATTCACATTTTCTATGGTTATACGGTATGCATAACAATGACTAGTGTGTACATCTTCTGAACATTTAAGTCATCAAATGAAAGCTAATATCCAGATTTCTTTAATAAAATAATACATTGGGATATACACAGCTCAGATCTAATTCAGACCTTTGAAGAGACCAGAAAAGGCCAATCCTAAAATACCTCTAACACATTAAGCTTGAAGGCACCGGCGGAAATTCATTAACCCCGTTACAGATTAAAAAATTTAAGGTATTAGATGTGATACTTGTAAATTATGCATGAAAGTGCATTATTTTTAATTTTTTTACAGTTTCTTTCAAACTAACTGCGGCCCATAAAGCCAGATCAAACAAAATTTCTCATGGAAGAGAACAGCTTTAGGAAATTTAGTACAGTACAGTGAGTAAGCTTTGTGTAAGGTTAGTTTTCATTAACATATTTTTTAATGGTCTTCAGGCCACAAAGATGTTCCCCAACAATGAACTTTAATTAAGGTGGGTTCGCACAAGTTTGATGCAGAGGCGATGAGCTTTTTCGTATTACCCCAAAAAGATTTAGTTAATGTGTATTACCCGCTAAATAAAAATTTTTGTTTAAAAAAAAACTCATTAATTGCCACTTTTATTAATCAAACATTTTTGCAGTTTTATTTATGTTGAGCTTTCATTACTCCTGACACTTGCATCTTTACCCCATCTGGGTAAGTTAGCCCGATCACCCGGTCGAGTACTGGAGACTTATTTCTGAACAGTTATTCTCCAGTCGTTCACAGAAAACAGTTGAACAAATTGGCTCATAACGTCCACAAGCAAATTGTCAAGAGATGTTTCTTTTTAGGAAAACACATCAACAATGATAGTTTAAGCTGACAAGATATTTCCCATTGCAGCTCAAAGTTCAACACAGCTACAGCTGAGCGCCTGGTGTTTAAGGAATTGTTGTAAAGTGGATAGAGGGATGCATAATTTCAGTTCTCACAGGGCCCTGAGCATGAAGCGCCAGGAAAGTCCTGGCCAAGTCGCAGTTCTGTTACATATATTAGATTCCAAATCGCTTGTTTCGTGATTTCATTAATATATACATATATATATATATATATATATATATATATATATTATTTATTATATATATATTTATATATATTTTATATATATATATATATTAATGGTGTGCCGTACAGGTAAAACTGGTCAATTAGCAAGAACTCGTTAAAAAAACTCCTTTCTAAAATTTTGTTATACATTTAAAGATGTATTTTTATAGTTTGTTAATGTAAAAATTAAGTTTTGTACGAAAAGAACCTTAGAAAACTTAACCAACCTTACTTTAAAAAGCTCAATTTAATTTAGCTTAATTCACTAAATATATATTTTAGATAAGTTTACAATAATTTAATAATAAACAAGCACCATGAAATATATTTTTCTCGTTAGGTTTAGAATTATTTTTGCGAACTTATTGCATACACAAATTTTCACTTGCCTTATTCGGCAAGAAGAGCGTTGCTGTTAAAGCCAAAATCGCAACTTTTACTTCTGGCATATTCTTTACTTTATTTAAAGAAGTCATTAAAAAAGTTCAATCAATAGGTGTTATTTATCGTGATCCACTTGGTCTGCATTTGATATTTAAGATAGTTCTTTCAGAATTTTTTTCCATTTATAACTGTCCAGTGCAATTATCTCAGAAAATTTTGAAATTCTTACAAAATTGGTTTTCTAACAAAAAGATTGAATATCTCTTACTCGGTGACAAGTTGCTCTATTCTTCAGAGTCACAAAATTCGTGTGAGATCGGCTGCCTTTCGGTGTATAAACCTGTGTGTGGAACGGACGGAAATATCTATGGCAACTCTTGTGAGCTTAAGCGCAGGGCCTGCAGTAACCCAGGGCTGAACCTGGAAATTGCTCCTGATTCCAATTGTCGTGAGTTTTGAGCTTCGAGTATTTTTTCCCCTTTCCAGTAAATAAAACAAATTTAAATTGAATTAATGTAATTTTAAATTTAGTAATCTAGTTAATTTAAATTTAATTTATAAAATTTGAAATTACTATAGGCAATTTAAATTTAATATAATTACTTTAATTTTAATTATGAGGTATGAATGTAGCATTCAGACATCACATAATACAACAGATTTGTACTTATCATATAATTCATTCATATTGCTTCTAAATTATATTCTGTTAAGTTACTGAATATATGCTCTGAAATATAATTCAAATAAGTTTTGTGCAATGCTGAACTTTGAAACGCCAAATCATTTTATTTTTTATTCCGTAAACGACTCGCATTTTTAATGGTTATACTGAAGCATTTACTAGTCGCCACACGGATAATATCCAAATTTCTTCAATAAAAATGGTACATTGGGACATACACAGCTCAAATCTAATTCAGACCTTTCATAGAGACCAGAGAAACCAATAACCTAAAATACTCTAACACATCAAGTTTGAAGCCGGTTAGCTGTATTACCCAGTTATCGGTATGCAAGATTGAAGGTAATAAGATGTGATAATCGGAAATTATCGCACGAGAACCAGTATTTTATATTTATCAGTTTCTTCTAAAACAGGCAAACTAGCAATTGTAAAGGTAAAAATCAATCCAAAATTTTCTTTCAGTTAGTGACCAGCTTTTATGGAAATTAAGCACAGTACAGTAAGTTTTGTGTAAGCTAGTTTGCAAGATATATATTTTTTTGATAATGGTCCTGATGTTGCCCATAAAAGAAGTTTAAGCTGGTCCACCAAGGTGACACCGAGGTCGGTGAACTTGTTCTGGTGTTACCTCAAAACAAAACAAATCTGTGTACAGCACAATTACCTAATAGACCAAAAATTATTTGCTTAAAAAAATAACTTTCATAATTTGCTTCTTTTATTAATTCATAAATTTTTGTGCAGTTGTTTATTGATCATTGATTTCCTCCGAAATTTTAATTTTTACCCCATTTGGGGTGAGTTATCCCGATTCCCCGACCTAGGATAACCAAATAGTCAAACACCGACTTCTGATCAGAAGAGTAATTCTCCAGTTATTCTCCAGTCGTTTCACAAACCAGTTGATCCATGAAATTGGCTCATGATAACGTCCACAAGCCATTTTCAAGAGATTGTTTCCTTTTAGGAAAACATATCAGCAATGAAAGTTTAAGGGTAACTAGAGGATATTTCCCAGTTATTGCTCAGAATGCAACACAGGCTAATTCCATCGTACTTTTTATCTAATTCATACGATGCATCAGCTAATGAAGATCGATGCCATTCACGCTTTTGATATTTTAATCAGATGCTAAATGACCCCTACACTAGAATGGGTCATTTAGCACCTGATAAATATGAGGTATTCAAATCTGATCCAGGCAAAGAGAAGATAACTAAAGTTCCTTGGATCAAGAACCTTTCAGCAGCATCTCCGCAAAATAATGCAATGATGAAAAACGATGCGATACCATGTATATATTAAAAGTTGTAAAATAGAATTTACACTTCATTATATAAAACAATCTTTAAATTAGCACTCGCGAGTATTGCAAATTTGAAGCCGATCACTGGAGTCAGTCTGTCTTTCGGTCATCATACACAAAGTTCGAGAATTACCCTTATAAAATTGTGCATAGGACACCCATGGATGCGAATAGACCCATGAATCATGCTCAAGGTATGACGCAAGAGTTGAAAATTTGAAGCCAATCGAATAAGGCGTTCTCGAGTACTAAACGAGAATTCTACAGAATAAACGAGAATTCTACAGAAAAAAAAAATGAAAATGTTGCTGAGATTTTTCTGAATAATAAGTCTCCCTTAGTTTAGCCTAAAATCGCAAATTTTATATATTCTCCATTACATTCTGTTTAAAATAATGTGCAGTCCTGCAAAAAAAAAATTTGATTTGGATTTTCTAAAAGAAAATCCAGTTTTATAAAATTCACAAATAGCGTATTACCTCCACACAACCCAAAAGAAATTAGTAAATACCTCTCTTCTAAATACTCTAGCATGTAGTAGATTCTCTAGTTTTTACACGAAAAACGGTATATTGTAACCAACATAAACTGCTACTTTAATGCTTATAATCACAACCATGATTTACAAAGTGGTGGACAGGTAAGCCAGCGAAAATCCTTGGTCCAATGACCAAAAGCTCCACCTGTAGGTTACCTTATGACTAACAGCAGCATCAGGAAACGCTTTGTCCTGTTTCCTGACAAACCTAACCTACCCTAATATAATTAATTATATTGACCAATTGTTATTTACACAGCTCAGGGTGAGTGACAGTTAGTTCTGATAAAGCAACTACTGGGAAGTGTGTGAAGCTATAAATGATCTGATTCCAAGGATTCTGAGTGCTTTAACTATTTCAGAAATTTTTTTTTCACTTAGACTAAATATATAGATCATCCTCCTCCTTGTAGAATGTATTATCAATAACATTTTGAAGGTAATCAAAATAAACGATCTTTAGTTATTGAAGAAGTGAATATCACTATATACAATAAAACTGGCAGCATGAGCTTGTGTTCAAGGAATTTGAAACCGATTACTTATGTTTTCTCTCTTGCTGCAACAAATTTACCTGCACGTAAAATGTACTTATTCAGAATAGTTACTGTCTTGATACTAAGATGCATTAGTAGTATGGAAATTTAAAGGCAATTAAAATTTAGCACTATTTGACTTATAATTGGTTCGGTCTGCACCTACACACTTGAATTTCACTTAACCGTCGTCAAATTGAAAATTTGAAGCTAAGCCAACGAGAGTTTTGGAAGTTTTCGAAGCCTTTCAAAGATACTGGGAATTGTCAATAGTTAGTCATGGGGTACGTGAATATGCTAATTGTTCCTAGAGTCTGGTCCTCGTTAAAGTACGCAAAAGACAAAATTTTTAGACTGCTTGGATAAGGTGTTCTCAAGTTGTGAGCGATATAAAATAAATTCTTAAGAGTAAATGAAAAAAAATATCAAACCTTTTAACGGTCCCCATTGTACATTGCAGCTCTAAAGTGACTTTCGTTTATCATTTTTATAAAACTGGACGAGCTAAGCATGGACCACTAGGCCCGCAGCAGCATTCCTCCATTTTACGTTCTTTGTGTTCATTATATAAAGCTTATTAAATGATTTATTAATGCAGATAATTTCCACTAATCATTTTCTTGCAGCCGACTTTCCCTCTCAGGATGACTGGGCACGGTTGTGAATATCAGCGGAAGCCTCATGAGTGCCGCCGTCTATGATGCTCAGTTGACTACTAGGAACCTAATAATTCTTAAGTAAAATTGTTCTAATAAAGCTTGTAGACATATCTCTTAGTTTAATTTTGAATACCGTTCATTGCTGTAATAGTAGAACACTATACCAATAAAATGCTCAAAAGAAAGTTGAAACGT